CCGATTGGAGGGAGGCGACGGGTTGTAGAGAGAGAGAATTGAGGGAGAGAATTAGGGTTTATGATGTTTGGTGAAATTAAATTAATATTTTGGACTGATTTGCATTTTTAAAAAAAGTTTAGGAGTAGATTGTAATTTATTTTTTATTTTTCTGTTCTTTTCCTTTTTGTTTTATTTAAATTGGAGGGTATATCGATCATTTTACATTAATAATTAGGAAAAATGACGTTTTGAACAAAAAAAAGTGAAAGATAGGGACGTTCTGCGTTAAGAAACGAAAGGTAGGGACCTTTTTTACAAAGACAGGCAAAGGTAGGGAAGTTTTGCGCCAATTACCTAACTTTAAAATATGAAACAGATACTTTGCAAGAGAATGTAAATTGATAGTTTGGTAAGTCAAAATATTTGTGTACAACATACATGACTCATATGTCGTGTTATAATTGTCTTATAATAATGGACAATGCTTGATGTACACTTTTGCGTATATCAAGTTTGACACTCACCTCACATGGGTGATTGCGGGCCCCACTCCCCATGTGAGGGGAGTGTCAAAATGAATGTACACCAAGGAGTGTACACATCATTATCCTATAATAATAAAAGTTGTTAGATATGACTTCATGTGAAACATCAAATTGCTAAATATGAACACTTATTCTTCGGGTGCCGCATTGTTATGATTCAAGGATTTCTAAATGAGGTCGATAATGTTTGATGATTGACATCACACGTTTCCAAGTTAGCTAGCTTCAATTTAATCGAGCCCGGGTAGAGTTTGGAAGAGTACATAGTTGTCGGTTACTTGGTCATCATCGATCTTCAATGGACAAATAAATAAGAAGAAAAAACTTTACANGCAGCGACGAGATATTGCAGAGAAGGGGGTCACGTGGGCTAGGCGGAAGAAGGTGGCGACAAGGGCAGCATTGTGTGGCAAAGGGCGGAGGGAGGTCAAAGAAGGAGTAAGAAGCCGAAGGAAGAGAGTGAAAGAAGGTTTAGACAAATTAAAAAATTGAACCCACCTCGGGTCATAATCCTCCATAGTTAGGAGAGGACAAAAATCAGTGGAACCAATTTTCTTGCGACGGTGGTGGGGTGGGTGGTAAGGGGAGGGAGAGTAGAGAATGGAGGTTGGTGAGTGAAATGGCAGTGGAAGAGAGAAGGGATTCCAGGGACGTTTTGCGCCGATTACCCAACTTTAAAATATGAAATAGATACTTTGCAAGAGAATGTAAATTGATAGTTTGGTAAGTCAAAATATTTGTGTACAACGTACATTACTCATATGTCGTGTTATAATTGTGTCTTATAATAATGGACAATGCTTGATGTACACTTTTGTGTGTATATCAAGTTTGACACTCCCCTCACATGGGTGATTGCGGGCCAAACGCGAACCCCACTCCCCATGTGAGGGGAGTGTCAAAATGAATGTACACCAAGGAGTGTACACATCATTATCCTATAATAATAAGAGTTGTTAGATATGACTTCATGTGAAACATCAAATTGCTAAATATGAACACTTATTCTTCGGGTGCCGCATTGTTATGATTCAAGGATTTCTAAATGAGGTCGATAGTGTTTGATGATTGACATCACACGTTTCCAAGTTAGCTAGCTTCAATTTAATCGAGCCCGGGTAGAGTTTGGAAGAGTACATAGTTGTCGGTTACTTGGTCATCATCGATCTTCAATGGACATATAAATAAGAAGAAAAAACTTTACA